GGATACATTAGCCAAAGGCAACCAATTTTGGGGGGGGGGAGGGAGGAGGCAGGGAATGCGAGACTGGCGTTTGAACTCAGGGCTTCACATTTGCAAAGCAGACACTCTATCACTTGAGCTACACCTCCATTTTGCTCTGGTTATTTTGGTGATGGAGTCTCTTGAACTATTTGCCCAGGCTGTCCTCAAACCACAATCCTCCCAGTCTCAGCCTCCCACCAAGTATCTTCTTGACACAAAATGTACTAACCACATCTAATGACTGAGGTGTTTGGCACAGGTGAACACCATGAAACTGTTCCAAAGTGAGTGATGACAAATAAACTTAAGAATCCTTTGGGGAACAGTGTACAAATCCTAGATGAACAAAGAACAGATGGATCACTCAGACTCAGGTTAAATTTTAAACAATTCCATTTTCTAAAGCTATATCGTACATTCCTGTTCTGGAAGCAATGAACCCCAAACTATCTCTCCTCTTGTGTTCTTCCAATAAATCCTCAAAGTCAAAAACAATCTTTGTATGTCTTCCATTCAAGCCTTAAAGAGTAATAAAATGACTACTCCTAAACATCTCATATTCCATTTAAGCTCAGCATAGTCAAATTTAAATTTGTCATCTTTCCAAAACACCTGCTCCAATTCCTCCCATGACAAACAGTATTACTAGTCCCCCAGTCTATCTGCAAATTGTCCTTAATATCCCACCCTTACAGTCCCCAGGTGCTTTCAAGTCTGCCTTCTAAGTGTCTAGACACCATCCCATCTTCTCTGTTCACATTAAGTCGGAATTACAATATCCTTGTAATTCATCTTTCTCCCTTGAAGTTTAAGATGGTTCAACCTATTTTGCACATACTGCCAAAGCAGTATTTGTAAGACATTTACCCAGTTATTTTATCACTCAATTTAAAATCCGTAAATGGCTCCCACACCTGCAAGCATTATTCTTGAGAACAACCAGATTAGGGCCCTGCCTAAACTTTAGTTTTTTCATTTCAGACATACCAAACTGCTTGCAAGTCCATGAAAACTAAACTTCTTGGGATCCTTAGCCTTTGATGCCAAAATCTGTATTTTTTTTTTTTTTACCTTCCTCACCTGGCTAACTCCTAGTTAACCTTAAAGATTCAGTTCAAGGGCCAACAACTCCTCAAAAGCTTCTTTGACATCCCAATCTGGGTGAGGGGCCCATTGCCATTTTTCCATAGTACCACAGAGTAACAGCTACCACTGGTATGATTTTCATTGACTTCCTCTCCTACTAGACTCAGAGTCTACTAGCCTGTCTGCCTCAAACTCACTATTTGAACACAACATGTGACAATGAGCAGGCTTGAAATAAATATTTGCTGGATTAGTAAAACCCCACAAAAGTCCTTTCATGTGCTATTACTATTGCTAACAAATGAGGAAACAAAGGGAGGTTCAGTACCTTGCCCAAGATCACAAACCAAATGTATCAGAGCTAGGATGCGAATGAAATGCTCTGACTGTGATGGAAATGATCCTGCCTCACAATCTTTGCCTTTGGGGAACCATTCTACAAAATAATTGTGTTCACCAGACATCGTGGAACATGCCTGTAATCCCAGCAATCATGAGGCTGAAGCAGGAAAATCATGAGAGACTGAGGTCAGCCTGGGCTACACAGTGGGACCTTAGCTTAAAAAATAAATAAGTAAATAAAGAAAGTAATTACATTCTGCACAATAGTTAATGGAGCCAAGTCCCATTTCTCTAGGTCGACCACATAATTCAGGCTTAGCCAATTAAAGTATTCTCCCACCCCAAACCCAGTTTGAATATGAATTCTGGGATAAACAGTCTACTCAAAGTATTTCTTGGGACTTTTCTAAGAACTATCAAAAAACAAATCCTTACCCCTTCTCTAGTACAAGTCTACTCTACAGACTATGTAACGTACGAGGTACAATAAATGGGAATGAGTTTTGAAAATAAACTCAAGCAAAGGAAAAGCTTGACAAAAACAGGGAAGATTAATGAAAAATAAAGAACACTAAAGCCTTGTATCCATCAATGCCTGAAGATCTCCCTAAGAGACCTCCTAGTTACATAGGCCTAAAATTTGCATTTTCACATCATGTAGTCTGAGTTGTGGACTTTCAAAATCTGTGTAAGCAGAACAAGGGTTTTCTGGCCGTTTACAACAATACTTTTTCATCTATGAATACACAAACTTGATAAACTGTTAATAAGAGGCTCGATTTCAGCCATTCTATTCCTTTACTTAATTTTTTATAACAAAGATGGGAGAAGGAAAGTATTGTTATAGTTTAGATAAGTGTTCTCCAAAAGTGGTGGTACATTTAGGAGGTGGGGCCTTGTTGGAAGTTGTCTGATCATAAGGAGGTGAGTCCCTGAAAAGGCTATAGAGACCCTGGCTACTCTTCTTTTTCTCTTTTTGCTCCTGGGTGCCATGAAGTAAGTCGCTTCCTCTGCCACACACTCCAACCATGATGTACTGCTCTACTACAAGCCAAAAGGTAATAAGTCAACAGACAGTAAGCCCATCCCCTTTTTTTAATTATCTCATGTATTTTGTTATAGTAATGGAAAGCTGACTAACATAAGCATAAAAGGTTCTTCAATCTTTACTTTATACTTTACCATATGAATTTTAAGTGCTCTCTGCTTTATAATATAAATGTTAGTGAACAGTGCCTCAAATGAGAAAGAAAAAAAATGCAACAGGATGTACTCATTGTCAAGCATCTTTAACAAAAGGAGAGAGGTACTACAGAATCCACATTGCACCTGCAGTTTGCCCGTGGATAAATTGTTTTTCTCCACCTATCAAAAAACAGAAGAGAGGAAAAATTTTTAAAAACTGGTTCTCTTGAGGTCTTTTAATGAGTTCAAATAGTGAAACCTCATCAGCAAAGAACACAGAAAAAAAGAAAACCAGCATGGAAAACATCTCATTGCTATTTAATATCATTTTAAGAAAAAAAAATGAGAGGACCTTTTCAAAACTTCCTCTAAATAACATGTTTCTTGGGCTTGGAGGTATAGCTCAAGTGGTACAATGACTGCTTTGCAAGTTTCTTAAGACTTAAGTTTTCATTCCCTATCTTAAGAAGCCACTGATTAATTTGGAGTATGACAAAGAAAAGAGGGTTTCCTCTAATCTTTGGCTCCAAATTTCCTGTAATACATTCAGGTGTTGTCATCTGCAAATTAAGGTTATGTGTGATGTCATAATTTTAACAGCCTACTGAGTAACGGTTGGGTCTGCCCTTTTGTAAGCAGAGATTTTAAATTGAAACATGGCTTAATAACCTAATAGGAGTCCCTATTTTCTTCTTCCCCTTTTTGTCATCTGCAGAAAATTATGAAGAGTCCAAAATTCTGAAGAGAAATTCCACTTTATCCACTAGTGGGAATGGCCCTTTGAAAAAAATCATAAAATAAAATTCCTGTACCTCACATGACAAACACAAAATCAGAACTTGGAACTAGATAATGCCAACAAGGGAAAAATGTAAACATTTTAGCAAAAAAACCTAGAAAAGAAAAAAAATGAGACTGAACCACCTGACTCTAGTTGCCACTCCCTTCTCCCCATTTCATGTACCAACTTCTCTCCCTCTTGATGCAATCTGTTCCAGACACAGTGGCCTCCTGGTTAAGGCCTCCACACGCCAGGCACACTCCTGCTTCAGAGGCTTTGTACTTGTACTTTCTTGTGCCAAAAAAAAGGACAAAACTAAGATGTAAGCATCATAAATGAATCTCAAAACAAAAAACAAACAAAATAAGAAAACTATCATAGAAAGTAAAAGAATCTAGACACAACCTAGCAAGCACAATGTCCTGTGTTCAAACACAAGTACCACCATCAAAAAAGAAGCTAGACACAGTAACTGCTGTGGTTACTTCTGAGAAGAAGATGTGTCATGTAGTAGATGATGAGAATTTTTCTTTTTCTTAGTTTTTTGTTTTTTTTTTTTTTTGCAAAGCATGAATCATGCCTCCAATCCATTTTTCCCTGGTTATTTTGGAGATGGAGTCTTGTAAACTATATGCCTGGGCTGGCTTCAAACCATGAACCTCCCAATCTCAGCCTCCAAGTAGCTTAGATTACAGGCATGAGCCGCCAGCTACGATGGGAACTTTCTGTACTTTGATCTGAATGTTGATCACATAACAATATACATGCGTAAAAAGCCATCAAATAAAGTACAAACACTTTGCATATAAAGCCATCAAGTATATAAAGCCATCAAGATATATACTTCAGATTTGAGTGTTTTAAGTACATATATTAAACCTAAATAGATTACTATAGTGATTATATATTAAAAAAACAACTTCAATTTGGTTAAACACAATTACATATAAAGAAAAAAAGAATGTGGAGGTACATCAAACTACTAAGGGCAGGTAGTTCTGGAATTGCAAATTATTTATATTTCTTTACCTTTTTGATTTTCCACATTCTCTACAAATGAGCTTTAGATAACTTTTATGATGGGGGTGGAGTTGGGGAGAACCTAAGTTTTCTTTTGAAACTTCTGACATGACTATAAAAGAAAATTCTATTATACTTGTAACTATCCTAAAGTTATGCAATACACAAAGTCTTAGTAAATTCGTCCTCCCTCCAATAAACTTCTATAAATTGCAAACACACAATTCCATTAAAGTATTCAGACAAATCAACAAAAACCCTGAGCTTTGCTTGGTGAAGGAACAAGAAAATCCACTGAGGAGTCAGCACTACAAATTTTAGGCTGACATTAAAAACTTGGTCTTGCCTGCAATAAATACAGGGCTCTCATGAATCAATAAAAACTAATTCCTAAAAACCGTAGGGTTTTTTAATTTATTACTTTAAATAACATTTGTGAAATTGATTTACCTAAATTCAATGCAAAATGCCCTGTGTTTAAATGAAAACACTCTCGGAGTTTCAGAAACTTTTACAATACACATAAAATAATAAGTAAGAACAAAACCAAAGAAGACATACAAACCTCTGATTGTACATGCCCCGAAAGTTGTAATTAGCTCTATAATTTGGGAATGGCTTTGGATCTAATGGCCTGTAGATGGCAGGCTCTCCCCTTTTCATAGCAAGCCCATTCAGTTCCACAGTTGGAGTTATACTGCCTGTTTAAAAAAATATTAAAGGCATACAAGTGAAATATTTCCACAATAAATCATTCAAGCTATACTTTTACTACATTTCATTACCATGGAAGAAGGTGAGAGCAGATGGTCCCTTTAATAAAGTATAGGCAAATATAAAAGAAAATAGTCTCTAATGAAATCTCTGAAGTTTCTGCAACATTTTCAGTAAATTAATGAACAAAAACTCATACTATTTAAGTTAAACAAATTCTTACACTGCTTAGTTTAGGCATTATTTTTTAAAGTATTTAACTTCAACATTACTTACCACAGACAGCTTGCATCCATTTAATCATTAAAAATATTACCTGCGAATATTTTTATTTATACTTTGGTAATCAAGTAACTGAACATTAGCAATGAATACAGGGTTATCAGCAATTCCTCTACGTATGTGATGAAAACCATTTATTGAGCTTTTTAATAACCAACAACACAAAGTAAATGTAAGCAATGCTCTGTGTGTATATTTATTGTATTCTAAGGAAATACAAGAAGATATGCACAAGTAGTGCTATCAATTAGCACAAGACTGGAAACAACCTAAAAAACAATCAGTATGGCACCAGTTATATGAATATCACAGCAAAAACACTACACAACTATAAAAAAGAGTAAGACTAATACACACCTTGCTTTTCCTTCTTTTTTTTTTAACAATATACCTTGGAAGTTATTCTTAAGCAAGACAGGAAATATTATTAAGTGAAAATGAGCAAGGTACCAAATAGTATCTATTTGATATCTTTTTATGTACAAAAGATGAAAATATAAAATATATTTGCTAATTTTTGGCTTTATTCCTAAAACTGAAAGAGAAAAAAAATAGGTACTTATAGAAAGAAAGCACAGAGGAGGAGAGGAATGGAAACTATATTTCTTTCTTTTTTTTTTTTTTTATTATTCATATGTGCATACAAAGCTTGGGTCATTTTATACTTCTTTCAATTGCAGTGTTTTATAGATTTTATTTTCAAAATGTGAAATTTTATAAAATTATACAAAATTTTCCATTAAAATTGGGGAGAGGCAATCCCTAAAAACAAAAAAAATGAAACTGGATCTGTGAATTGAGTTGGTGACTTAAATAGAGAAAAAATTTTTATGACTTTCAATACTATAAACTAACCATACTGAGATTTATCCTAACAAAAAAAGAAAAGCAAACAAAGAAATCTCAAACTGTTTTCAGAAATCCTATTTCTAGTAACATGATTTTTAACTAGCAATATATTTTTGTTTAATTCAAGCAAAATTAAATCAAAATGGAGACAAAAAAAATCTCTAAAAAGAAGACAATGCAATTAAGCTACCAATAAATCAAATCAGTGGCTTTAATAGTACAAACAGTAATTACTTCAAATGACTTTAAAGGACAGTAAAATACTCATATGGCCTAAAGTAAAAGAAACTGTAAACATTTTTCACTAATTATGCTGTTATTAATATTGGCATTGTTATTATGAAAATTTTATGTATTTACAAATAGGTATAAAGTAGATTAAAAAATAATGTCAGAAAACAAGATTTTTATCATAAGAGAGATGGAAACATAAAATCAAATACATTAAGTAAAACCCGATAGTCTTACACCTGAGTTGAAAACATCAGTATAAATTCATGATGTTTTCTCTTAAAAAAAAAAAAAATTAGGGGATTTCCTAGCTTTGCCCATTTTTTTAAAAGGCCTGAAAAACAATCCATTAGCAATGAAGACAGTCAGCACCCAGGTCTGGTTTATACCTATCATTCCTCCATTTAAAAACAAAAAGATTCTTTGGAGAAATGGTTGATTTCAGATAATGTACATGATACTGATAAAGGCAAAAAAAAAAAAAAAACACATACACAATCACTTATCTTCTTATCTTGCCTGTCTTAAACACTTCGCTCAGTTCAGACAGGTGATAAAGGAAAAGCTATTCACCTAATTAGCTAGAAAAATTCATGCAGAAGAATGACACCCAAAAATCACCAGTTTGTTAACTACTGATTTAAAAAAACAAATGGATATTCTAAACAGTGAGCATCAGCATTAGCGCAAATGTTGGTGGGGAACTTGATAATGGAAGGACCAGGCTAACAATATCAGAACCAACTGATCAATCTTAAGACCACAAAGCAAAAAATAGTAAGAAATTAAATGTCTTCAGATGTGGTGCAACAAGAAGTAGACAAAACTACCGATAAAGCAATCTCACCAAAGACATCAAGCCTGAACATGTACAGCCTCTAGGTTATCAGCTGGCAGAAATTACAGAGGCAAACAGGTGGTCTAATACCACAGGGATGCAATCAGCAAAAGAACATGAAAAACTCTGAAGGAATAATGACCTGGTTTCTGCAACAAATAATCTATATGGAAAAATAAAAATGGAGAAGAATTCTATATCTTAAAAAGGACCAAAGGCACCTTACAGACCAAATACAATAAATGGAACTCGTTTCGATCTTCATTAAAATAAACCAACTACGAAAAAACAATGAGACTATAAGGGAAATCTGAACTCTGGACATTTTTTAATATTAGGGAATTATTGTTTCGTTTCTTTCTGGTTAGTTTTTTAAGAGTCCTCATGTTAAAAAGTGTTTACGTAAAGTATTGTATCTGAGCTCTGCTTCAAAATATTCCAGAGTTAGGCATGGTGGCTGGCACCTATAATTCCAGCACACAGGCGATTGCAAGTTCAAGGCTAGCCTGGGCTACATAGTGAGTTCCAGGCCAACTTGAGCTACCTACTGAGTTCTATGTCACCCTGTGCTAAATAGCAAGACCCTATCTCAAATTACCCTTCCCTGCAAAAATAATAATACTAGTAATACTAATTATGTATGTATTTTTTTTTTCTTGTGAGGAGATAGATGAGAAACAAGACTGGCTGCCAGACACTGATAATTGCTGAAGCCAATGATAGGTGCAGGAGACATTCAGTATCTAATTCTAGCTAATTTTGTAAAAGTTTCTTAAATTCTTTAAAAAAAAAACAAAAATCACAATGTAATATTAAGTCAAGCTACTTTAAGTACCAAAACAGGTTATTAGTAAAATATGTGTGTTTATGTTCCAACAAATCAAGTAAGTTAAATGTAAAGCCTTTACATTAAGTAAAATTTCATATAAAGTCTATGTTATTTCATTTAAATTACACCTTTTAGGGCTTACATTAAGCAGAGGAATTGGGGATGGCAGAGGCTTACACAAATGCACAATTAACATTTAGTTCATAAGCAATCAATCAACAAGAAACTGCCATCTCATTTCTAAGGAATTAATATGAAACCAGTTAAGCAAAGGAACTAAATCAAGGATAAGAAGAAAAAAAGAAAAAAAAAAAAAAAGAGAAGAGGAGAAGGAAAGAAAAAGAAAGGGGAGGGGGAGGTTAACAGACTGAATAGTAAATCCAGTTAGTGTAAATTCCTAATTTACTACACATACTATGAAGAAAAAGTCAAGCATAAAGAGATTCTCTTTCATTTCTTCCCCTCTCTCTTCCCTCACCTTCTAATGTCATTTTATTGAGGAATAAGTAAAATGCACAAACCTTGACTAAGTGCTAGGCTCAATGAATGATTAGATGGAAAGACTCATATGACTAACGTTCAGAACAAGAACATTTCCATTTCCCAGGAAGTTCCTCCAGTCTCTTTCCAGCTGACACTCACCTCCCTGGGTAACTCATTTGACTTCTGTCACTACAGATTTGTTACTCTATTCTTCATATCTAAATAACTACAATTTTCTGTTTTGTTTCTTTCACTCAATAATTGAAAATACCACAATTTGTTTATTCTACTATTGATGGAACATTTGATTTGTTTCTAGTTTGAGACTATAATGTATATGTTTTGAAAAAGTCTTTTTCAGTAGATATATACTCAGTTCTCATGCATACCGATCTGGCAGTGGAATTGCTGGGTCACTGAGCAAGGTTTATGTTTAACTTTATTAGAAACTGTCTAACCATTTTCCAAAGACTTTAAAATCAAACAGTAGTCTACACCTTTAAAACTTCACATTTTAAATTTCATAAGGATTTCAGTCTAATAATTAACATGTTTGTCATAATCCAAGATATAAAATCCAACTTTAAGATGGGGTGTCACTGTGTTGCCCAGGCTGGCCTCAAACTCCTTCTTTTTGGCAACATGGTCTTGCTGTGTAGCCCTCACTGGCCTTGCACTCATGATCCTCACACCTCAGCCCCTGAGCACAGGCATGTACCATCACACCAACAAAATTTATGTCACTTTGAATTCTATTTTGTAAGTCATTCCGTCACAAATACCATCAAATTTAAATAGAAAAAAAAGTTTGAAAGACCCCATACTTTAAGTGAGGCAATAAACAAGAATCTAATGTATCTGAGAAGGAAATAAAATCAACAGTGAAGTAATCTGGACACACTGGTGGGATACACTACACCCGCCACCCATATTATAAATTGGAATTTAAAACAAACTACAGCACATTTTCTTCACAGCAATGTTAGAAACTGCTCTTTCTGAAGAAAAAGTCAAAAAGAAGCAGAAAGCAAAATGCATGCTAAAAAAGCTTCACCTCTCAGAATAAAGCCTCTCTGTCGTTTCACACAAAAGCACTGCCCCCGAACCTGCACACCATGTTTACTGCCATAAGAACACTTTCACAGAACACACTTACAGAGCCGCTTCCTTCCAGCTAAGAGATTCCTCCAGGAATGCCAAGCAGCTCACTTCAGTATGCATAAAGATACTCATCACATAGGGTTCCTTGGGTATTATAAGGTAAAGAGTTGACACTTGCAAACATATAATCAATTTTCAGTGGTTCTCAGATATTTTTAACTGACACATAAAAGCTATACATACTTTGGGTATCATGTTATATTTTTAGGAGTAACTGCTATTTTGTTTGTTTTGCTTTTTTGGAAATACCGGGGGCTTGAACTCAGGGCCTGTGATTGCTAGACTGGTGCTCTACCACTTGAGCCACACTTTCA